CAACGCCCCACAGCCTACCCCCATGGTACCATCTGAGGTTGCAGATGCCACTACCTGCGCCAGCGCACCTATCGTCACCGAGACGGTTAAGCAGACAGTTACTGTCACTGTTGATGGCAACACCGCTATGAGCACTGGCTCTTACGGTTCATACTAAGCCATGTTTTGGCGACACGCAACTCTTTAGCGTTGTGAAGAGATTCGAACAAAAATTCAGATCGTATAGCCTTACGTTCCTTGTACATATTTCTGCCGACTTTAGGCAAACAAAGAGACATAGAGGATGGATAGATTTCCTCAACCAATCGTTTATCAAAGACACTTTTTACTTGCCATTAATCCTTTTGACCTGTGAGCAAGATGTGGGGTCGAGATGACGCTCTGCCTTTTATTGATGATTGGGCCTTCGGCTCTACTTATGTGGATAGGTGGAGATCCCACATGCTTACCATATCAAGTTAGCAAAGTTGGTGATCACCTCGGAAAGGTCACCCGTGGCAGAAAGGAAAGAGGGACATGTGGAGCAGAAATGTCAAAGACAGCGGGGATTCTTGCTGTAAAGTTCATGTGTTCCAGCCTCCGTTGTTGTTCATCAATCTCACGAGTACTAAATGGCAAATCCCCAGCAACATCCAGTTGCCATCATAGGGGGAGGCCCTGTAGGCCTTTCCTCTTCAATCCTGTTATCCCTTCGCAACATTCCACACGTGCTTTTCGAGCGTCACCTTAGCACTTCGATCCACCCAAAAGCATGCGGCCTGAATCAACGAACCGGCGAGATATTCCGTCAGATGGGGGTGGAGCAGGAAGTCATTGCCAATGCAGCACCTCCGAACACATGTTCCAAGACCGCGTGGTTCACTTCTCTGGGACCGACTGGTACCAAGATAGTCTCGCGCGACGCATGGGGTGGCGGGAAATATGCCGACGAGTATGGTACAGCAAGTCCTAGTCGCTATGTCATGTTGCCGCAGATACGTCTCGAGCCCATTCTTTCACGAAGGGCCAAGCAGTTGAACCCGAGCGGTGTGCAGTATGGTGCCGAAGTTACCGACATTGTGGAGAAGGAGGATTACGTGGAGTTACGGATTGAATTCCGGGACAAGTCCAGACCTAGCGATACTATACGGGCTTCGTATGTTATTGCAGCTGATGGCGGGCGTATGGTAACAAACAAACTTGGTATTGAACTACATGGTGAAAAGAACATAGTCGACATGGTGACTGCACACATTCGAGCACCAATATCCCTCAGACATCCCGAACCAGAAGCGTTCATAACTTGGTTCATCAATCCGGAGATGGGCGGAAGTATTGGAACTGGCTACATGTACCACCTTGGCCCGTACCCCAACAATCCCGACACAGAAGAGTGGATTTTTGCCTGCGGCATCCTCCCAGACGATCCCGTGCGATTTGACAACGACGCAATGATGAGTCGATTAAAGAAGAGCATCAACATCCCCGACTTGGAAGTTGAAGTCATGAGTTTGAGCCACTGGTCTGTCAACGCTATTTCAGCTGAACAGTATCGCAGTAAAAACGGCCGCACTTTCCTCGTTGGTGACGCGGCGCATCGCCTACCGCCATGGGGTGCTCTCGGACTTAACACGGGTATTCAAGATGCTAACAACTTGGTTTGGAAGCTAGCTTTGAAGCTCCAGGGCAAACTTGGGAATGGCGACTTTCTGGACACATATGATGAAGAACGCCGCCCGATTGGAGAAAGAGTAGCGCAATCGAGCCTGGTTAATATGCGGAGTCACAGCATGATCATGGACAGGGCCTTGGGTATCAGCAAAGACACTTCAGTCGAAGAGAACAAGAGAGCCATTCGAGTCCTGTTTGACAAAAGCCATCCAGGCTATGCTCAAATGCATGCGGATGTGCAGAGAGCGCAAGAGACCCTCGATACAGAGTTCAAAGCCCCAGGGGCAGAAATAGGCTGGTTTTATCCAACTGCTGATATCGACAATGAGGGGCGGGATAACTTTCACGGTGGTCAAGTGGATGAGAATGGGAAGCTGAAGGTCACCGAATACCACCCTTCGACCATTCCTGGGCATCACTTTCCCCACATGTGGCTGAAGAAGGGACATGATGTCGTTTCGTCCCTCGATCTTTTGTGCCTGGACCGTTTCGTTCTCTTTACGGTAGACCCTGCTAGGTGGAACCAGATTAGAGACGAGCTAATCCACGTTGTTGGTATCGATGGTAGGGAATTGGAAGATGTTGATGGGAAATGGGATCAGCTCTCAGAGGTAGGGGGTAATGGAGCCGTTCTCGTAAGACCAGATGGTATCGTGGCCTGGAGAAGCAAGTCAGGTGGAGAGGACAATGTGAATAGACTGCATGCAGCTGTTGCACAGATACTGCGAAGGTAGTCTAATGTAGACAGAATGCTTGCCTATCATCAACCTCCTGACTTGACCTCGTAGACCAAGTAGAGCTTGCTGTGCGAGTTGGCCTGCGATTTCGGATCCAACAGAACAACGCCGCAGCGTCAAATCTCCCCAATTTTGTAGCTAGCGAATGCGTAATCGTGTGCAGTTCTTGCAAAGTCGCGTTGCATAGCTGGAATCTGGATACTCGTATACCAAAGTACAATCTCAATGACCAGCCCGAATCAGGACCAGACCGCGTCTAAGTTGAAGGCGCACTCTCAGCCAGATGCCGCGTATAAGCTACAGGCTCGCCTCCGATGTGATACCGAGGCAGACGGGCCAACGAGCTCCCACCATCCAACGAGGGTACGTAAGAGTGTTATATCAAGTCGAGTGTAAGGCTGCCGGCTAGAGGAGAAAAAGGGGGCGCAGAAAAATCGTCGTCGCCATCTTCCTCGATTTAAAAGCTCAACTGGCTGAAAATGGTGATTTGGGGGCTGTCCAAGCAAAAAGATACCCCAACAGCCTGGGGAAAAGGCAAAAAAGTTCGGTACGCTGTTGCGAGCGCCAATGATGACTCATCGGAGGTTTGAACTCCGGACCTTCAGTGTCCTAACTGGCGTTTGACGGCCGTTGTTAGACTGACGTGATAACCAACTACACCAACGAGCCTTGCTTGATGAACTTAGATCAAGAAGTTTGTACTATATAGCCAGAACAGCGTCGTCGTTGCTGTCGCGGGGCTCGAAACAAGGTCTCGCAGGTGGGGTTGGAATGTGGGAAAATGTCGGGCGCCAACTCATTTTGGTAACCAATCCACGCATCACACAAGGCTTTCTCCTGCTAGCGTAACAGCCTTCGTCTCTCGTTCAGCAATCGTCCGTGTTTTCTTCTTAGAGACTGGTTCTAGATTTGAAGTCTCCTGAACGTGCACGTCGAACGTGGTTATGCTCCTGGGATGCGTGTTCGTTTTTTTTACTTGAGAGTAGGTGCAGCGAGCATGCTTGAACGATGACGAATTTGTATGTTGGTACCAGGCGATGAGGGAGCATCTTTCGCATTGACTATACTTCGATATGGCTGGGTCGTAAGTCGCGTCGCGTTAAGTATCGTCATGGGTGTGCATGGTGCTTAGCGGCGAGGTCCTGAAGTATCTGAGTCAGTTGAAGGTAGGAAGAAAACAGCCTTGAGGATTAGGGCCGCGACTGAACATAGTGGCTTCAACTACCATCTTGAATGAGCAAGGGGTTCAGCAGTTGTACACCTTGTCCAGGCGATTGCTTGTGGTTGAGTGCGAATTCTACGCGTATGCTCTCAAGGTACTCGCGCAGGAACGCGCATGCCGCATTCGTCGGTGGTATAGCACAGGTACACAGACATGATTCCATGCCATGATCGAGTCGCGTTGCGCAAACGTGTAAATAGTGGTGGTGGTATATACAAAGCTGGTCATGGTGGAGTGGGTGTGAGGTTGTGTTAAAATTTCTCAGTAGACGCAGACAGAAGACGCGACTATGGTGACGGTGAACGGTGATTTCCTCATTGAGCGTTTGCGCGCAGCCGACGCGAGATGGAAGGAGTCACCCAAACAACATGCGCACCTCACAGTCATTGGTCGGCACTCGTCCTCCGACACCAACTGATCCAAAAATAAAAAGAATGTCTATCGAACGTCACGTTGTCTCTGTATGCAAATCTTTCCCTGCAAAGATCTCATCAAACGTATACGCGGCATCGCTTCGCCGGCACAGCGTTCTCCAGTTCGGCAGCGAAGCGAACCCTCCTGCAACACACCAGCCACACTCAGCCGTTGACCCACTCGGATCGCTCCACCAAAAACATCCGCGCCAGGATAAACGGCAGCTCGACATGCGATTCGATCAAAAGTGTCATCCGAAGTGTGGCTAGTGAGGGGCGAATCTGCGGGTGCGCGACCTCATAACCGGCTGTCAGGACCCTGATCTGCATGAGATCCTACCAAGTGCAGTAACGAGACCGGTGGGCTGTGTGGACGATCTCTTGATCAATCGCCACACTGCGACGACTTTGCTTGCTCCAACGAATTATGGACATCGACGGCATGCGACAATGTACATGGGTGTGAACAGTCAAAAAGTATGGCCACCGCTGCCGCTGGGCACTGGCTTCCTGACTGTTCGTACTATTGTTGCCGGACATGAAGCGCTGACGCATCTTTGCGAACATTGACTCTCAGCTACTTGCGATTTATTATTACTGCTTTTTTTTACCACACTCACTCGTTCACGCATACATGCATTCGCTAAGAGGATGGAATTGGCTGGTCTTGGGGAATGTGGTGGGTTTGGTACACGGCGCTGCGGTGCCTGTCATCACACCTGCACCAAGGCCGGATGTTCGATCACTACAACATAGGCAAGATCCTAATGCGTAAGGTTTCTTGACGTAGATCGGTTTTGACTGCGCTGACATTGACAATAGTATCGAGATCTTGCAAGTGCTCATTACTGCACTACCACTTTCGCTAAGACAGATCGCTGCGACAAACATACCCGCTGTCTCGAGCATACTATGGGAGGAATTCCTAGACGACAAGAGACCGCAATGGTTCGAAGAGCTGCCATACGACATACAATCCTACTTCATACAAGAGTTCGGACCAGCGACGGCAGCACCACCTGCAAGCGAAGCATTGCCAACCGACGTCACCGCATCACCAACGGCATTACCCTCAGAGACTGCTTCAAATGTGGACTCATCGATATCTAAGTCATTATCGACTAGCGCAGTGCCATCCTCTGCGATATCAGGATCCGAAAGTTTGAGCACGATTTCTACGCCTACGGCATCTTCGAGCAGTGCCTTGAGCGAAACCTCCAGTTTGGTATCCTCCTCTGGGACTTCTTCCGAACTTTCGACCACACTCGCGACTTCCTCATCATCATTATCATTATCTTCGGAAACTACCGTATCAACATCCGCATCTTCCTCCGCAAGTTCATCTGCGACTTTGAATCCAACCGCAGATCCTGTTGCACCCGCTTCCAGCGATGCTGGCCTGACAAGACGCGAAAAGATCGGGCTTGGTGTGGGTGTGCCATTAGCAGTACTCACATTTGCCGCATTACTACTCGCATGCTGCTTTATTTTGCGCCGAAAGCGAAGGAGATCCATCGAAGGCAGCCAACCTCCGTCGTCCCCGGGCTTCATTCCCCGTTTCTCATTTCAGGACCGAGGACTGGGCGGTGAGAATTTCGAACACAGGCGGCCTTTGAATCCCGCATCACACCAAACGAGCCGTTTCGTTGAGGATATGAACTGGGAGGATGATGGCTATGATCCGGCTCCTATGTCTACAGCCTACCATGGTCATCAAATTTCACCGGCTGCAGCACCTACACCATCTCAGGCAAACAACATTGCGACTGCAGGCATTCTCCATCCCAATGATGGCAATTCAATGCCATCAGCGTCAAAACCAATGGCGATGCAAGATAATCACACACCTATCCTGGCGCCCGCACTCTACCACAGCCACTCGTCGAATCGTGCGCGCGGTCGACGAACAAGCTATACGAGCCTGCACTCAGTGGCCGAAGTGACCGAACCTGACGAAGAATTGAACGGAGACTCTCCGGTGCTAGGTCGCAACAATTCACCACCAAAGACAGGCCCGCGGAGACCCGGTATGTCCGCTCTAGACACGCTTCCCGTCCCAGCCGTGGCGAGCATAAAACGCAAACCGGTGCCCACGAGTCCCATCAGCAGCCCGGCAGCCGAAGCATCGCGAGGTCTTCTCCGCCCTTCCCTAGCATATAACAGTGCCGATCATAGTGGAAGCAGTTCCTCTGGTCTCGCCGTCTCCAGCCTATCCACCAACTCCGGCCATGGATACCAATCCGACGATTCCAGACCCATCTCTCCCATCACCCACCAGCAGCCCTCTTCAAATCCTTTTGCGGGCGGATATGCATACCTTGAAGACTATGGCCCTGAGTACTCAAACAACGGGTATACGGACCAGGACGATGAGCTCTATGGTGGACATAGGAGCTTCGATAGGTACCCAGATCCCAGTTCGTCTCTCAAAAAGAGCAGCAAGACTGAGTGGCCGTTGAGGAACGTCATGGGTGGTGGGCAGAAGAGGACGAGAAGTCCCATGTGGGATCGCGTTTACGAACGCGTATGAGTGCGTTCGATGCACGGTAACGATTTCCTTTGTTGCATATACGAGCATTTGCATGCTATGACTTAGCACTGGCGTTTGATTATTACGGGAGTAATGAGTGTCGATGATATCCACTCCTTGATGCGAAGATACACAGCGTCTTTGTACGCACGTTTTGTTATTTATACCCTCCTTCGCAGTACATACGAGGTTCTGTAGTTAGCGGTCGAGAACAGTTGCTCAATGATATCACAGTCAAACATTACTTCCGATAATGTGCATGGAATAAAACTCGCTAAATGTTCCGAGAAGTCTACAAGATCTCGTGCATGTACAGTCTACTCATCAAAACCTCGGTCCGACACTGCTGACGCGGACCTTCGTCTGTGCTGACCCGTGACTGCGGCCGGGCACGCCAGACAACTCTCGTATCCCACGTCCAGACTAACCTCTTAGTCGTGGAACTTCCTGTTCTCGTTCTCACCGAAGAGCGTAACCCTGATGGACGGCAGGGCCTGGGACTCGAGTAGCTTCAACCGTTCTTGGAAAGTGTTGTTGATGTCGATGCGGCCGTTTGTGCCGACGATCATGGCACCACCAGCACTGTCTGGAGTTAGTCTTGTCCCATATCGATAGTTATGTTAAACCTACGATCCCTCTGGCAGCGGGTCGCTCTCATCAATAGTAATGGAGACGTCCTTGCCAATGTTCTTTTTGTACTCGGTCTGCGCCTCCTCGATAGCCTTCTTGGTAAGGTCGTAGTCAGCCTTCCGGACCTTGACCTGCAGCTTATCCTCGTTGAGCGCATAGGCACCCTCGACAATCAGGTCCTTCATGACGCTCTGGTACTTCTTCTTGTCCTTTGACACATCGCCCAGCTTCTTCTCGGCGTTCTCAAATAGGCGGTTGAGCAGCTCCTGGCGGGCGGAGAGGATGCGTAATCGGCTCTTGTTGGAGACGGTGGAGCGGGTGATTTGCTGCGACATGCTGGCCTGCTTGAACTTCTTCTCGTAGGATGAGTCGATCGAGGCCTGTTCCTGGCGCACGAGCTTGGACTTCTCGATGGCAAACTCCTCGTCGGCCTTGAGGCGGATTTCGTTGGCCTTCTCCATGGCTTCCTGGCGGATAAAGGCCGTCATCTTCTTGAGCTCGCCGGCGACCTGCCATGGTGGTGCGTGTTAGCTATCGTGTTGACGTAGTGGGCGGGGAGCTTGCCGCGGGCTGGAGCGGGTGGGGAGTTGTACCTGGTCGTCGGAGAGGGCGTGGACTTGCGACATGATGGCGGTATTGTGTGGGGTCCTCTGGGCTACGGGGGAGGGTTATGGGTGCTGGCGTCGAGGTATAGCAGTGACGGAGCTTGGAGGTTGAAGTTCAAGCTTGGGCCCCCAGACACCCAGACGCTGCCCGCGGTTACCCAGGTACGTCTGCAGAGGATCCATGGCACGACGTCGCAGGTACGCGATGGTAATATTAAACGTGTCACATTATGGATATAATGGATATATCTCTTGTTCAACCTCGTCGCGTTGCCTCGTTGCTGCTCCCGAGCTCTCCAGGGCTCTCCTCCTGAATCCAACTACATCATCAGTCGGCTGATCCCTGCAACCTGCACGGCGTCGGCTAGTCTTCCCCAACCGTCTCGTGCACTTCACCGACTCAGCGTGACGTTTCGCGACTTCCACGTCTGCGCTGTCTACTATCAAGACTACACATCCCCGCTTCATACCCCTCATACGCACAGCATGCGCCCGACGACTAGGTAGCGATACGCGCAGTGCAGCGACGACAGCCGACACGAACCATGGTGGAACTCTCGCCGGGCGCGAGCGTTGCTGTGAGTACCCAGGGCGCCATACCACCACGGGAATAGAGCGCTAATGGACGGACACGCAGCTTGGAGTAATGGTCGGCCTCGCCTCTACCAGCATACAGAGCGTTGGCCTGACGCTGCAGCGGAAGTCCCATCTCCTAGAGGAAGAGAAGGACGACGACGATCAGAGGCGACCCCCATACAAGCGGCGGAGATGGCAGGCACGAACACCCCTCGCGCATTCGGAGACGATTCACTAACATACATATAGCTGGGCATGCTCATGTTCGTCGTGGCAAACATCGTCGGCAGTACCATCCAAATCACCACCCTCCCCCTTCCCGTCCTCTCCACCCTGCAGGCATCCGGCCTCGTCTTCAACTCGATATGTGCCTCCATCATCCTCAGCGAACCCTTTACGCGATACTCCTTCGTCGGCACAATGCTCGTTGCGATAGGCGCATTGCTCATCGCCTTGTTCGGTGCCATTGCGGAACCGTCGCATAACCTGGATCAACTGCTGGCGCTGCTGGGACGAAACACCTTCATTGTATGGATGGTCATGACGGGCATAGTGGTTGTCATGCTGGTTATTGCCACTTGGTTACTGCACCGCATGCATCCGCGGACCACTCCTCGGCAACGCCTCGTACGCGGTATCCTCTTCGGTTGTGTCAGTGGCATCCTCTCCGCGCATTCGCTCTTAATCGCAAAGAGCGCCGTCGAACTCCTCGTCCGGACTCTCATCGACCGCCATAACCAGTTTGACCGCTGGCAGTCGTGGATGATCCTAGTCGGACTGGTCGTCTTCGCCCTGACCCAACTCTACTACATGCATCGCGGACTGAAGTTGGTTAGCACGAGCGTGCTCTATCCCTTGGTCTTCTGCGTGTACAACATCATCGCGATTATAGACGGCCTCATCTACTTCGACCAAAACGATCGCCTGTCGAGTATACACGCTGGGTTGATCGCGCTTGGAACTGTTATTCTGCTCGCGGGAGTTGTCTGTTTGAGCTGGCGACTTGAAGACAACGAGGAAGAGCCCATGTCACCGGTAGCAAGCAAGCACACAGGCAGGGTTCCGATGCCTCACAATGTGCTGGAACCCGGTATCGGCCTTGCGCATGGCCATAGCCACGACGAACCCGACTCACCTCTCGACATCGACGAAGAAGCCCCAGGCGTTCACGGCTATGCCTCCGAGCAAGCCAAACGGAAAGCGGTCGACGAAAGGACACCTCTGCTGGCCCGCGCTCCCACAGGTCCCGCGGTGACACTCGCCAATCCGAAGAAGCGAGCATCGGTAGACGCCGGTGACTTGAAAAGTCCTATACAATCCCGTAGATTACCGAGGAGACGGCGGATGACTATCTCGGAGGAGACGAATGAGATATGGGATGAGCTCAACGATCGAGAGACTCTGCCTTCTCCTGCTCGGCGATCCGTGGATTTAGAACGACGACCAAGATCTGGGACTTTGCCTCCACGAAGGAATGCTGCGCAGTCGGCGTGGCTCAATCAGATGCGTAGGCGGTCCTGGTTCGAAGGATTCGGTAGCCGAGGCAGGAGCGTGTCGCAAGGAAAGAAGCCCGTGGATAGCTCTACATCACTTCTTGATCATCCCGATCCAGAGGACGGCGATATCTCTGATACAGACATGGACGAAACATCCCGGAGACGACAGACCTGGGGGTACGGCCAAGGGAGCAAAAGCCAAGATAACTTGGGCGACTGGTTCAAGATGAAGTGGTGGCGCAAGAAGTGGAAAGAGGATGAAGACCATGAAGAAGAACGACCTGCATGATATCACTACCGCATCCATTAATTTGAATATACCCAGAATGTATTATCAGAATTCAAGACGCAGTTCTAAGGATTACTACGCAGCGCGATCGTCCCTTTCGAGCAACAAGCATCTCCGCTTTGCGAAAGTCTCCTTGAGTCATAGTCGGAACCCACGTTACTACACTAACCCACATATGCACGACATCCAGATCGAGTAATCCTTTCCTGACGATAAGCTCATAGCCAATCGCAGATTACACCTCGTTGCCCCACCTTATGCCACCCCACTATCCGCATCTACCTTCAGCGTTTCGGGGTCGTCTTGCTCATGACCTGCAGCGCACACTAATAGATGGCAGTGGATAAGATCGGAAAGCTTAGCAAAGCTCCCGCCAAATCGGCCATGTATTTGACGCATGCCAAGCGCCATATGCAGTATCAAAGTCCCAGACATGCGCTGCTCTACGCCTATATGGCGGCTGACTGGATGATGGAAGCAGGGGAAGTCCCGTCAACAGTGTATCTTGAGAACCTGATGATGCCGATGCCGTAAGTGCTGAAGATTGGGCGATGGTAGATAAGGTTGTAGTACATAAGGCCGGTCGTGCTCTTGCGCCTTCCACTTCCAGCGGCGTCTACAACACCCCTAGATAATCTGAACAACCCAACCTCATTCCAACCGCCACCATGCCAGCAATGCAATACTTCGAAAAAGCGCAAACAGCCTTTAAACCTCCTCTAATCGCCAACGAGAACGCCTACCTCGGTGACGTCGTATCATCGTACGTCTAGCCTCCTCTTGTCGGATCCCATCAACCCACTACCCCGAACTGACACTCCTTCCCTCCCAGCGAGTCCACAGACCCAGAGAAGCCCATCAGTGGCGGTTTCTACCGTCTAGAAAAGGGAACACCACTCGTGTACACATATACGTACGATGAGATCAAGATCATAGTGGACGGCCACTTCTACATCAGCGATGAGACGGGCAAGGAAGTGAAGGCTGAGAAGGGGGACGTGTTCTTCTTTCCCAAGGGGAGCAAGATTACTTTCAAGACGGATGATTTTGGATTGGGGTTTTTCGTAGGGCAGAGGAAGAAGGATGGTGCGTAGATGGGTGGGGGATAGCGATGGAGATGGGAGTAAGAGAGGGTTCGGAATGAAAATTGCGTGTCATGAACACTGATTAATGCAGTCGTTTGCCTTGCTTACCAAGTTTTTGATGATCGCAGTTTCTTCAAGTTCGAGAGTATCCTTGTATAGCCGGTGGTATGTATTGCGAAATCGCGCTGCTCGCCTTGCTTACCAACGTCGGCGTATTGCGTCCAATCACGAAGTTCATGTCGCAACGTATCAGCCATGAGCCTCAAGTTCTCGAGACGCATTTGTAAAACACCGAGTTGGAAGTTGTCGCAGAATAGGC